TTTGATCAATACGAAGTGCATCGAAATACCTTTCATCATTCATGTGCTCCTAGTCAACAGCTTTTGAGCTCTAAGAAGATTTTCTCTATGTACACCAAGGCTCAAGGCTTACTGAGTAAAGTTTTCGAAATGCGGCTGCTTCAAGGATCAAATGCCAGAAACCTCATCGCTATAACGAAGACAGGGTTACGACCTGACATAAGTGACATGGAGATCACACTGCCAGGCATGTCAATTATTCGACATGACCGACCCAGCAAAGGTGGATGTGATGGCTTTGTACTTCCGTAACGACCTCTAATGTGAGCTCATAGAGGATCCGATCAGCAAGGTACAAGATTCCCTTTGGTGCTATCTACATTTAAAGGTGAAGACACTTGCTTATTAGAGATCATTTACCGCCGTCCTTCTGCCACTCCAAAGATGGACTTCTATCTGGCATCTGCAACAAGGCGGGTGATAAACACAATGTACAATCACATTCAAATTACAAGCGATTTCACGCTCTGGAATCGAAAGTATCCCCCGGCGAACAGTTTAAGAGCTATTTACAAGAGTTTGTCTCCAGCTACAAGCTGTATGGTCGCCACAACACTTCCATCAGATCCCAAGAAAAAGATAAGCCGTCACACAAGCTCGAAAGAGTACAACACATAGCCACACGGCTCATTCCCGGTCTTCAGGGTGTGCCGTATGAAGAAAGATGCAGACAATTGGGTCTGTATACTCTAGCCTACCGCCGCGTGCGGGTGGACCTCATCATGACCCATCGGGTATTGCATCTGGGTGCTTATCCGATGCTGAGGCCACTGCTCCATGTCCGTGCGTCAAGCAGCACACGAGGTCACCAGTACAAACTGGTAGTCCCTGACCTCAAGTGGGTAGCTCATCCCTTGTGTCTTGAGCGGCGAGTGGTGAACATGTGGAACCGTTTGCCCTCGCGGATAGTAGAAGCGAACTCGGTGTCGGAATTCAAACGATTCCTGGACGCGCACTTTGCGGATGCCAGATTCGACGAAGCCTTCACAGGAAACTGACGAAGGAATCGTTCAATGATTATAACCCATGGAGCCCGTTAATCCACCAACTGCAGCTTCCGAAACGATGCCCATCCGTAATAGGCGGCGGAGCTGGTGAAGGACTCCGTGTGGTTCATCCAAGAATAGATCGTAAGTACATGGAGTTTTTTTTCTATGCTTGTAAATATTTTACTTTTTTCATCTGGGCTAGCTCACTACTACAGGTAACACTGTGTCAGTGGGACATGTCCTACATTGAGATATAGCTACGTAGATGTTCAACATCTTTCTCGCTATCATGACAGTAAAGTAAAGTAAAGTAAAGTAAATACTGGCTCAGATAATCACCAACGAAGAATTAGTGATCGAGAGGGTGATCGTTGAAGTCCCCTTGGGCCGCAGTGATCATGTAGTCCTACTCTTCGAATACATTTGTTTTGCAGCATATTCAGTGGAGATTGCCGAAGCAACAGAAGTTATTATACGTTACAATATGTTAGCTTGACTATGTAAGACAATCAACTGGACCTTACGGGCAGACGAGGCACCAGCTAGTGCATGGGAACGTTTCGTCAGCCAGTTTAACTCTCTGGTTGCCGAAGCGTCAGCGACTAAGACCTTTCACCTGAGAAACCTAGTCTCGTGTTTGCAAAGCAGAACACGCAAGCGTGTAGCGGTGCGAACCTCAACTTGGCACATCTACAAACTCTCCTCGAGCACCGAGAACTGGATGGCCTATGCGACCCAACGTAACCATAGTACTCAGCTTGTTCGCTAAGACAGAATGGCCTACCAGTAGAAGTTAGCAGTGCATATGGCTTCCAATCACAAGCTTCTGTATCAACACTTGAACAGTCTACGTAAATTGAAACGGGGAATTCCTCCTCTTCAAATAGCGGACGGACCCACATAAGGACACCGAAGGAGGCGGCAAATTCCCTGCGCCTACAATATGCTCCAATATTTCAGTGCGATCACTGGCCACATAACCCTAAGACAATGGTTGTTTAACCTCCAAAACTCACTCATATATCCTTCACGGCCGAAGCTGTAATAAAAATACTGTTGAGTATGCCACAAGCACAGCTCCCATTGAGTTGATAATCTACACCCGAAATCGCTAGCGGCAGGAGGAGAAAGTTTAGCTGAGCATTTGGTGACATTCTTCCAACAATTTTTTGATGAAATGTACGTGCCTGACATGTGGAAACACAGGATGATTACTAATATTCATAAGGGAGTTAGTTGTTCCAATCCAGCCAAGTATCGTCCTTTAATCTTACTACCGGTTTTTTAAAGGTCTTGGAAGCTGTTTTTTCTGAAGCGCCAACGGCCTACTTGTAAGTATGTAACTACCTCGCACCGGAACAACATGGCTTCCGATGCAATTGATCGTACACTACAAGCCTACTACTAGCACGATCCAGCCGGACTGAAGTAGTAGACTCTGGCACAGGAGTTGATGTAGTCATTCTCGACTTTTGGAAGGCGTTCGACCGGTTAGACCATAACATTCTGATCTTAAAACTACAGACCTTAATTATTAGTGATCCTTTCTTAGGATGGATCAAAATCTTTCCCCTACACCGGCGCTTGGAAGTAGGACTGCGTGAGTCGTTGTCAGGTCACACCCGAGTTGAATGCGGAGTCCCACACGGATCGGTACTGGACCGAGGCTATTTTTGACCTATATTAACAATATCACAGGCCTCATAAGTTCGAGCTGCCTTCTGTATGCCAATGACATCAAGGTGTGGAGGGCAGCAAACACCAGATGATTTCACAGTACTTTAAGCTGACTTGGATAGGGTATACGCGTGGGCAGTCCGGAATCTACTTCGATTCTATGTGGACAAATGTAGAGTGCTGCACCTACGGCACAAGTTAGTGTTTTTCTACAAACTCGACAACCAAGAGCTTCAAACGTCTTCTGGCGAGAAGGATCCGAGGGTTTTGCTCCAGTTCGACCTTGGAACCAGGCTGAAACGGTGTCAAGAAGGGGCATTCAACACGTGGATCCCGTCAAGCGTGCATTCGGACGATTCGATCCTTCGATTCTTCCACAAATTCTCAGCGCATACATAGGGTCACATGTGGAATACGCAATACAGGTTTGGGAGTCATTGCAGAGAGATCTCACTGCCTTGGAGAAAGCCTAACACCGGATAACCAAAAGAGCCAAGGGTTTATATAATTTTCCGTATGAACATAGGCTTCAAGTGCTCGGGGTCTTCAGCGGACAGTGTCGGCGATAACGCGGTGACTTCATTTTGACTTATCAGATCATGAGAGATCCCAACCACTCGTACTGCTATTTGCTAGAGTTCAGTCACAACAGCAATTCGAGAGGTCACCGTCTCAAACTGGTACAGCAGCACAGTCGTATGGAATGTCATCGGAATTTCTTTTCCCTACTTATTTGTGGAACGTGGAATGCCCTGCCGGAATCCTTCATTTGTGCTCTCCCGCTGGTTGAGTTCAAATCCAGGGTGGACCATGCACTTATTTCGTTGCACCATCTTACATGACTCATTACAAACGGATAAACGCAAGTGTCGGTAAGAGATTTCATTGGTGGTCATATCCCAGGTTTCATTCCACTTTTGCACCTCCTGTATGTGTACACCAGAAGGTGACACGATTTTTACCAACATCGCATTCGCCGTCAATCCTTATGGATCGACCTTGGATTTACAGCTTATACTACGTATGCCACAGTGAGTTCACCGGTCTAAACTTAATTTTGCTATTTTTTTTAAAATTTTTTGTAGTTTCACCAAAACCCTCCTTCGGGAGCTGTTAAGCATTAGCACTTTTAACCGTATAAATATCTGTTCCATCGTATTACTACTCTTAACATAAAGGTAGTATAATTTCAACCGCAATCCGATTCACCAGCAGGATGGGGAATAGCCCTCACCACCAATGTTCGCATTGCGTATTTGCTAATGTTCGTCAACTATGGCGCCGGTGCGACACCAAGCTTTCTCCGAAGAGTAAGGTTTATAATGTGGGTATACGTTTGACCCGACTGTACGATTGTGAAACCCAACCAAGTAGATCGGCAGACATAAAGAGGCTAGTTACGTTCGACCACCGGTGCCTTCGCACTTTGGCTCATATCTGGTGCGAAGATGCTGTGAGCACTGAGGGTGTTCGGTGCCTTATTTATGACACAGGAAGAGGAAGTGAACCGCTCATCACCGTTATTTAACGCACCAGGCTTTGATGGTTAAGCCACGTGTTGTGCATGCCAGCCCACCGGCTCCCGCTAGGTGCTTGTCTGCTCGCTGGGGGTTTGGATGGAAGAAGAAGGAAAAGAGGGGAGGCCAGGTGATGACTTGGTCAAGCTGAATGAAGACCCTTAGTTCCAAGTTGGCCTAGGTTGGATACTCTCGGATTCAGTGCCACGGTTCGAAAGATGATGAACACGTTCGGTTAGATGCATTTATTGACATGGCTAGGAACCGATCTCAGTGGCGTTTGGGCTGTGAGTTTCCAGGTTCTTTCTCCTCCTGCTTAGGTTATCGCTTCAACCATGACCTTATGTCGAAAGCACAAGATAATTCTTTTCTTCCGGCACAATCGACAGCTGGTAGCTCTCCGGAACAATATCCATCTGTCGCTGGTGACTCAGCCGGCGCACCACTGCTGTATGTATTTTAATTAATTTCCTATGTATTACGGCATAATAGCTGAGGTGTTTTCCACCTTTAGTTACTTTGTACAATGAATGGATAGTCCGCCAGTGAATATGCATAAAAACTGTTCGATTGTACCTTACGTCCCAGCTTGGGCATGCGGTAACTCCCGGAAAGATATTTTGGGTTGAAGTCGCCCAGAGTTTGGGAGCAAGAATCTACGAATACAAAACGAAATTAATGTCAAGTACAATCCTTTGATTTTCAAACAACTACAACTCTATGTGTGTCGCTGCAAGCATAAAGCTAACATTCTTGATTCAGAGTAATGATTACCTACTTGTAACGGATCGGGTTCCGCTGCACCGTCCTCTGAGGTATCAACAGCATGGACCTTGGATATAGGGGAATTCTCAGGACGAACAGTAGTAACGCTGCATTTTGTTGCGGAGTGATCAACAGAATACGCGGGGGTGCTTGGTTTTGTCACTTTTACTGCCGGTGCTCTGAAGTCTTTGAACTTCTTCGGAGAGTTCGGAAGTGCTTTTGGAATCGCTCTGCAATTTGCGTTATTTGTGCTGCTCCGGGGAGACTTTAAGGCAACGGTTTCCGTGGGGTCAGCAGCTTTCTTGGTAACAGCGGTGCCGGAGGAGGGGGAGGATGCGTCGAGCTTGGTCAATAGAGAATCGACGCCAACTGGTGGCTTCTTAGGCTGTAACAGCAAATGAAAGAATAAATGGAAGTTGAGGATCTAACACGCCGGAGAGCGAAGGATCCGGAAGAGTGAGCCCGAAACGCACGACAATGGCAACAAATGGCACATGAAAGAAAATGAAGAAGAATGCCAAATAAATAGTACAATAGCCAACACTGGTACCGCAAGTGAAGAAGCGCCCTATGGAAGTGAAAATGTGTTCGTTGCCATGCAACTTCTAGGTGTTGGATGGAGACAGGACACTAATCCTAACATGAAAATTGACGTGATGCCGCAAACTGGTGAGAATTTGAAATAGAACTCAAACTTTTTGGGTTGGCAGTCTAGCGCGTTGAACAGCTGAGGATGTGCAAGGTAACAGCTGCAGTGAAAGGATTGTCCTGTTCTCCGAGCTGGGCAGGACAATCCTTTCATCCACATCCCGAGCTACAGATATTCTCATTAATTTCCAAACAGCTGCAGTGTTAGAATGCTGGATAGGAAACCAGTGTGACGGCAGCGATAAGTTTAGAGTGACCCGAGAAAGACTGGTGTTTTCTAATCCGATAGGTATACGGCGAATGAGACCTGAATCAAAAGGCACTCTTAATTAGAAAACCATGTTACCTTGGCATCAGCTACGAAGCTGGCGCAACATAGTACGATGTGAACCGGAGACTAAAGTGAGGTAGTCTATGTGACACAAAAGGTAGACGATTCCTCACAGCACTTCGACAGCGCACATACCTAGAGAAATCTGCCAGCTAAGGAAAGTGTGCGTCTACATTGATCGTATTCAGGTAGGTGGCTGGATCACCTTGAAAGCAAAGTACATATGCTTTTACATGGATGGCCATATATGGGTTTTGAACCGAAAGCTGAACTTAAGGGAGACATGCGGAACATCACTCTAAGGCACAAAACTAGACAGTTGCATGAAAGGCTGCAAGACCAGAGTATGCGATACTAAAATCAGTCACATGTGCAAAACATGAAAAATATGCCAAGCATTTCGTAATGAATAGAAATTCTTTATAGGCTCAATACCCTTAGCACAGCCTTGCTAGAAGAGATCTGAGAATACCGCAATGGTGATCGGATCTGAGATTCGCTTTGGAGCACTATTTACTCCGTGGACACTGTCGACGTTCGGGGTGGGACTATCGGTAGAATAAAGAGAAAGGTAGTTTTCATGTGGCTAGATTTTGTCACACATAAAGGGTGTCGATCCATTAAATCAGCCTATAAGCCAAAGGCAGGAAAGCTCGATATGGCCATCAGGTTTAACAGGCGTTGCGCAATGCGTCTGCTCTAAGCGCCATTCTATGCAGTCTCTACTTGAGGGACAAAAATAAGAATGGTATACGCAGCCAGCCGACTTCAAAGATGGGTTCTCATACATCTTGGCTACGAGTTCGAGATGCAATTCTGCCGCACGGAGGATTTTGGCCAAGCCGACGATCTGTCTCGTCTCATTCCCAAGTGTGCAGTAGAAATAAATAGATAAATTCGTTATTGTCGGACGATGCGAAACACACCTATATAGGCATGAACACGGTAAAGGTACAACTGAATATCGGGGAACGGATAAAAATGGTGCAAGTTAGTCATGTACATTGAAGCTGTGTGTTTATAAAGGTAGGTGAGAGTGCATGTGTGTATCTACTATTCGAGTTTGGATATGTGCAGCTGCAATTATGATAGATGAGGTGGATAGTGTGAGTAGGGTTGAGTGACGTGCATTGCGTGATTGCGGTTGGCTGAGTAGCCATTGAGCTGTGAATTTACTTGGAGGCGGGTTAACATCCACCTCGTAGCAGTGCTGCTAAACAGACATTAGTGACTTTGTATAGGGAGAACACTTGCCAGATGAAAACCCACCACATCCTGGAACAATGTCGGGGTATACCCGAACCACCCAGCTGCTACCATGAGGAAGTCATTATTGCGTTGTCGGTTAAGGAGCCTGTTACCACGGTGTTTTTTGTAGGCTGGTCACGGCTGTTTCAATCCCTTGGATATGGGTATCCAGGTCCAGTTGACCAGTGGTTGTAGACCAGTAAGGAGGTGAGTGTGTTGGAGATCCGACATGACTCACGTTTATCTTTGAAAGTTAATTTGGTCGCAGACGCACAAGCCAGGTGGGACTCCTTGATAAGTTCCTGATGATATCTTCAGACCTCAGAATGACACAGTGATTGCAGTCATTGCCGTTGAGCAGGACGTGTGCCATAAACTTTCGGAAACGATTCGCAGCCTTCCTGTCACCGGCACCGACATCCGTCGTGCCACCAACCAGGACCCTATCCTCGGTAAGACTATCAACTACGTCAAAACAGGTTGTCTTACAACTGCCGTGCCTGGATAACAAGCAGCTCCTACGGCGTTGTGATATTCCGTCTGTCGTAGATTACTGTCTCATAACTGATGATAGAGACGTGGTCCCAGCCTGCCTTCGTCAAGTCGTGTTTCGTCAGTTCGACTCTGCACATCCTGGTAAGAGTAAAATGAAAACAATCGCTCAAAGCTATGTTTAATGGTCCGGTGTAAACACCGACACAGAAGAGCTTGTTCGCCAGTGCTCACGATGCAACCAAGCAACCAGGATGCCGTCATGCCAACCACCAGCACCTTGGAAACCCACCGAGAAATCTTGATCTCGCACATATGTTGACTTCGCTGGTCCAATCAACGGCTGCTCTACCTGGTCCTTAATGAGGCCTACTCCATTTGACCCGAAGTTGTGCCACACTTGCTTGTGTCTTGCGAATCTTCAATTAACACAGAGTCCTAGTTTTCCTTGCGTCAGACAACGGCGCCCAGTTCACTTCCTCGATTTCGATTATTTCTGCCACCTTGAGGAGGACAGCCACTTTCGTGAACTGTTCTATCATCCCATTCAAATGTGAAAACGGAACGGTTCGTGGACACTATCAGGAGAGCAATCCTGAAGTCACAAGGAGGACAGTGGATGTAAGTATCCATATATTTTCAAACTTGGATTTAGAGTACCCGCCGTGTGGTCGGATTGCAACACGCAATCTCTATTGAGACCTCGGTTCACTCTGAAGTAGACCTCAGTCATTCAGATCACAAAGACCGTCCCCGAAATGGGGGTGTTTCGGTGTTGCTCCTCACAGCACTGACACCCAAAGACCGACGGTTTCGTCATCGTTTGTACTAACCAGGTGGTGATAGTCTGTGCTGGGGTGGAACTCAGGGCCTAGTGGTTACCGGATGATCCCTTGATTACTATGCTGTCGCTTAGTTTACATAAACAACAGCCTAGTACAGTGCCACATTACGAAGCAGCCGCGGTGCCAAACACATATTGCATGTTCTGCACGTCTGACAATTCAGTAGAGTAACTGGAGCACGTGCCATCTGGCGGAATTGCAAAGAACCGGCGACGGACGAGATCTCTGTGTAGACTAACTATTCTGCCACCCAGTAGAACCACCTCCGGATTTTCCATGACAACTTCATGCCGGAATATCAACAGTTCAAACGGTGAACACGCATGAAAAAGGTACACAAAAGCTGTCAAGTCTAGACTGAATTCCATTTGGTTTTATCACATTACTTGATTACTTGTTTCAGTTTCTGGTTTGGTCCAGAGGGCGAGTGCGTCAGGGAAGCACCAAGGAAGGATTACACGGCGAAGCTTTATTACTACTCGTAACATAAGAGTAGTATAATTTCAACTGCAATCCGATTCATTAGCAGGATGGTGAATAGCCCTCTTCATTAAATACATACATAAATAGTTTATTCTCAAATTTATAGTGACACATGGCGCTTTTCATAACCTTTGAGCGTGATATCACGCTCTCCCTGAAGAATAAACTTTACAATTGCAGTCGTCTGTTCAATTCTCCTATACGGTCGTGAAATATGGCCTAACAGGTCGACAGACATAAGGATACTAGTTACGTTCGACCACTGGTACCTTCGCAGCTTTGTCTCCTATCTGCGTGAGCAATGGGGATGTTCGGTATCCTATGGCGCAGGAAAAGTGAGTGAACCGCTCAGCATCGCTATATCACCCAAAAGGTTCCAGCAGCTTGGCCATGTTTTACGCGTGCCAGCGTAACGGCTCCAGTAAAGTGCGTAACTAGGGTCTTGGTGGAAGAAGAGGATAATAATGAAAACGAATCGCCAACTGTACGCCGTAACGGCGCTTCGCTGCCACGAGACCACCAACAGTCGCGCGTGGGCTGAGTATACCGGGAGGACGCCCGCCCCTACGCTAACCGGTGACCTTATGGTTGCAAACCAGACACGCATACCACTCGGCCACAGGCCGACGAAGGTGATAGAAACCAAGGGATGAGTTGGTCAAGAGAAACGAAGACCTTTATCTCAACTTCGCGTCCGTTAGTGACCTCGGACTGGGGTCCGAAAGACGATGCACACGTTTGTTTGAATTCACGTTTAGACATAATCAGGAGCTGACCTCAATGGCCTTTGGGTTGTGAGCTTTTGTCCCTTCCTCTCATTTCCCCTCGTAGCCTCCCCCTCCAACCACGATCTTCCACTGGATGTGCAATATAATACTAAGCAGTATTGTAATTGTCTTTTGGTTTATGATTTGTATTCCGTAATGTTTAGTATTTCGCTGTTTCAAATATCTTATATTTTTGTATCACAGTACAATATATGTTGCTTCTCACCCTTGGCTAACATTTAATGATTAGGATGAACCTAATTAATTTGGTTGATGATGAGAGACCAACTATACTCAGTCTCCCGACTCTCTAAGTTGAGGGTTGGAATTGGGCTTAATGTCTTAATGCAAAACCGGATGATTACCATGTATAATCATTATTCTAATCGCTCTTTCGTCTAAATTTAGACACAGTGGTAGTATCGCAGTCCGCTTACAGTCATGGCCATATAAGCAACATTCAATCATATTCTTCACTGTCAGCCGCGTAGGTTTAAAAGGATCCTCTTATTTGCTTAATGGAAGAGGGCGGGTAAACGAAAACATGTTGCTGCTGACAGGTTCATTCGTT